ATATCCTATCAGGTTTCTGCACTTTAGGGATTAAGGAAATGAGAGTGTGATTGATACTTTTAAGCATTTTACCAGATTGGAAGAAGCTATACACAAGAGCACAGAGGTCATACTTAATGATTTCCCAAAAGTGTTGAAAGAACAGAGAGGTCATACCATCTTGCCCAGGGGCTTTCTGAGGGGAGATAGAGAAGAGAGCAGCTCTAATGTCTTCTTCATCAACATTGGCAGTGAGTTCAGTGTTCATCGCTTCAGTAATGACAGGAGATACTTCATCCAGCACAGGATCAGACCTAGAAGGGCCTTGGGTAGAGAAAAGATTATTGTAGAACTCCTCAATGCACTGGGATATTTCATCCTGAGATTCACAGACTGTGGAGTCATCATTAATAAGTCTTGTGATTTTGTTCCTTCTTCTTCTGTGGGTGGTCTGGGCATGGAAGAACTTAGTGTTTTTGTCTCCATGCTTTAGCCAGGAGATTCTTGATTTTTGCTGCCAGAATTGTTCTTCATCTTTGTACAATTTATTCAACTCCTTTTGGATAGAATCCCACCTGTGCCAATCCCTCAACCCTCCTTCCCATCTCAGTTCAGCAAGTTGTCTGTGTAAGCTCTCAATCTTTTTGGCAGACTCAGTTTTAAACTTGCAGCTCCATTTCAGGAGATGCATCCTTACCCCTTTGATCTTTTCTTGGAAGCAGAACATAGGTGTGCCTGATTGATAAAGGTTCCATGCTTTGGAGACAACTTCAGAGACATCCTCTCTGTGAATCCATCTTTGGTCAAAGAAAAATCTTTTCTTATGAGGCTTGATTTCTGGATTGGAATTAAGGAGAAGCATGCTGTGATCAGATGAGCTCTTAAATTCATTGCTGACTACTGTGTTAGGGTAAAGGGAAAGCCATCCCAGAGAGCAAAAGATCCTGTCTAGTTGTTCCTCCACATATCCTTCTCCTTGTCTGTTGTTTGCCCATGTAAACTTGTGACCTTGGAGAGCCATATCTTGCATACCCATTAATGATATAAATCTGTTGAATGCACTGAAGGAAGAGAGAGTTCTAATTATGCCTCCTTGTTTGTCCTCTTGACAGGTAATCTCGTTCCAGTCTCCTCATATAAACCAGTAGTCACCCACTGATTTTGAGCTTCCAGAAGAAACTGCCACTGATCATGTCTAACTGACTGCTGAGTGCTGGCATAGACAAAAATTCCCCAGCAGGTGTGATTCATGGTTTCATCCCAATATTCCACTTGCAGACAAAACTCAGATTTGATTATTTGGAATATATGAACATCAGAATTCCAAAGCAGCAAAAGCCCACCACTTCTACCAACTGGGTTGACAGCTGTCCAATTATCACTAATACCCAACTTTTTACAAACAGTAAATATAAATTTTTCTGATTTTTTGGTTTCAGAGAAAAAAGCAAAACTGGGGTGGTGGAGTCTCCATGACTCCTTGAGCTGGGAAATTGTAGAAGCCCCACCCAGGCCTCTACAATTCCACAGTGTTGTCTTCATTGTTCAGGGTGGGGCCATATGGGGCTGGCCTCCTGTACCCGCAGATCGGATTTTTTATGCTTTTTGTTTAGAGAGGGATTCTCATCTTTGGAACAACTCTGGGAATTGCCTTGTGGTTCTTGAATGGTAAGCTGTCTCTTGGTTCTGATAAGTCTGCCCTGGGAAATAGCATTTTGAACCCCTTTGCTGAGGGAGACTTGCTTCCTTTTCCATTTTTTACTGGGATTGGCTTGAGTTGGGGTTGGAGATGGTTGCAGATTAATGTCTACAGGTTGGGGACAGGTCACTATTTGAAGGTTCTGGGTGTTTTCTTCAGGGATGAAGAGAGGTAAGGTTTCCATGGGGGTTATTTGATGTGAGCTGTCAGTTCTGGGGGAAGAAGGATGTGGAATGATTTTAGTGATAGTGTTTGGGGTAATGGGTGAGGAGGATTGGCTTTTGGTTGGTGAGAGAGGTTGGATCAATGATGCAGGGGAGATTGGAGGATTACAGGGCTTATTATGAGGGTTTAGGTTGGTAGAGTTCTGATTGCAGGTATTGTTGGATGAAGATGGGGTGTCTGTGTTTGGGTTGGTGTTGAGGGGGTTAACCTTAACAGTTAAGGGGGAAGGAGTGTGAGATTTTTGGTTTGGAGTAGGAGATGGAGATTCTGAATTTGAGTTGGTCTGTTGATAGTGTCCCAAGGGAGGGTAGTCATGAGCTTTAAGCCAGTCCCCATAAGCTCCTTCTCTGAGGTTTCCAGTGTCCATGTCTTGCATCCGCTTTTCACAATTTTTATCCAAATGACCAATGATCCCGCAATAATGACAGAAGTTCACTAACCTTTCATACTTGAATTCAACAATCTTCGTGGTGCCCTCCAGTTGCAAGCATGCATATCTGAGAATAGGCATCTCAATATCAATGGTTACTAGCATCCTTAGACATTTCCCAGCTAGTGGACCATATTGGATGACTACATTCTTGACTCTTTTGAAAGCCTTCCCAATTTTGAGTCCAACTTCTGTAGACGTCCAGTGGATTGGGACATTCCACACCTGAACCCATATCTCCAATTCCTTGAAGCTTTCGTGTTGACTATTGATGCTTTCAGACCAATCTCTAAGGATTAGATATTGGTTATCAATTAGCCAATTTGTTCCCTTCAGCACCTTGACTTTGTCTTCTAGGTTTGAGAAAATGAATTGGAAGTAGTTGCTGCTGATTTCTTTGATTGTCATCGGGGCCTGGATTTGCCATATTTGGGAAAGAACCCTTTTCAGACCGATTAGATGAACTGCGTTGCCCAATGACCTTTCCGAAAATACTTTTAGCACACTCATCTTTACTTTTCTGAATATCGTCCGTGGCCAAGGGGATGAGATAGCTTCTATCTCTGATAACTGAACATCAATGATTAAAATTTAACGGGCCAAATGCAACGGGCTCAATAATTAGTATTTAATGGGCCATATACTAAACGAACCAAATATTTTGTTTGCACATATATAAAATAAATAGCCTACGGCCCAATTAATTCATATCAGCCCATCTAAAACCACGAACGCTGTATATGAAAACATGTTTAATAATATTTAAATTTTTTCTTAATATTTTACTAATGATTATATTATATTTTTACACTTATTTTTTTTTTTACTTTTTTTTCTCTATTGTATCGCTTTCCGTGCAAATGCACGGGTCAAAAATTAGTAATAATTAAAAGAACACCCAGAATCGACTAAGGCGACAGACATCCACTGTTGAAAACAGAGAGAGCAAAAGAAAATTCATGACACTAAAAGAAGACACAACTTGTTACTCAAGAAATGAGATTCAAACATAAAGATGAATTGTAACGCCTCAGTTATTTTAGAGGAAAGATACCAAATTTTTCAAAGTTCAGAGTAAAATTTTTGTAAAACAATCAATCATACATAATCGTACAGCTTAAGTTACAACTTAAGCCTTGGAAAAATCTACTCCAAAATTGCAGAGTCAAACATGATCAAACGAGACATAATATCGCATACTCATTAAAAAATCTCGAAACATAACCATAACGATTCAAATTCATCAAATCAAATCCAAATTTCCAATAATGATTACACAAGTTTAGCAAAGTATGACAACAACAAGCGAAAGCAAGTACACCCAGTTCATAATCACAAACATAATAATGACCCCACTCGTCCGTCCTTTGCCACAACCATCAGCTCAACATAAATATATGTAAATCTTTTCGAAAGTCTTGTATAAATATTTTACAGAAATGCAATTTGCAAATTGCAACTTGGTAATACATAGTACCATAATATTGAAAATATTTAATCAATTTTCAATTTTGCCTTTCCATTAACGGTAGATACACATTAATATATCCATAAATTGAATCACAAAAGACTAGTAGTATAATATAAAACCAACAAAATCACTCACCTATCTAATGCGATGAAATTAGTGGGGATGAGCAAACCAACTAGCTCACCGTGGGAATACCATTCAGTCTATTCAGTATAATGACTTAAATCCATAATCGCAACATGAATACAAATCGTCTAGACTACTTCATATACCGCCGTACACCCCTAACCATCGGGACACATCCCATTCACGGAAGCTAAACTGTCGGGACAAGCCCATTTACGGGAGAAACCTCTCAGTAGGAACAACTAGGAAAACATCATAACTCCATCAACGTCAGAATCTCTCATAGACGCTGGCATGCATACATTAATTAACAAGCCAATTAATTATAAAGAATAACATACATGGTAAGGTTTAACAACACCCACCTGATTAGTCGAGATATACATATACACAATGATCGGCAGAGGGCTCGAATACTCGTTAATCTACAGATTAGGGGTTTAAGTTTTAACTATTACTAAGGGTTTTGATTTAGGTTGATTAAGCAACCCAAACCAGCAATCAAGGCAAATAAGGGCAAGTAAGACAGATAAGCACAAACAAAGCTCACAACTCTCTAAACTAAATAATGTATGCTACTCACTTCATATGCTAAAGAAACAAACAATCTCTCTTCTACACTAATGGATCATGTAGCAAATTAAATAAATAACAAAGGTCTTAAAAGCATGCTTTTCAAATTGGCACATACAACCCCTAATAATTCAAAATTGGCTTAACATACTCATTTCAAACAAGGTCAAACAACCATGTATAACAAGCTCTCATTCTTATCAAACTTCAACCAAATCATAACACAAACAAAAGGCCCTATAACTGAATCTATAACCTCCGAAAAGCATACAAAATCGCAGCATACCAATCATCTGGTCAAGGCACAACAAGTTCCAAATGTATCAAGGCAACAATATGTACAATATGTAATTCATGCTCAAATTCTCATAATCTAATGATGCTTATAAATGAACATTAAGCACACATTACCAATGTTTTAAAGGCGTCGCCTAGGCGTCCAGGCGATTTTTGGTCACTTAAGGGACTGATGAGTATAGCGGGAAATAGAAAACTACCCCCCCGCCACGAGCAAAGGAACAAGAGGCAGCGGTGGTTCTCTGAGAACTTCAAAATCTTTATTGGCCTGTTCCTTATCTTGAAGAGAACAATCGGTGGCTCGACCCCCTCCCCCTCAATGTCCGGGATTGGACGCCCTTAAAGACACTGTTCGAGAATCCCTCGGCCCAGTCTTTTGTCTTCGATCATTGAAACTAGGAACAAAGACAAAGAAAGTAGTAGATAAACTAGTGAGGCCACGCGCTAGGAGCCCTTGATGGTGGTGGTGTTTGAAGGAACTCAACATTCTGAGATCAAGTAGATCGAGCAGCGAGCACTAATAGCAAGGAAGCCATTAGGCTTGACTGAAAACGATTTTCTCGAGGTCAGCGCTGGACTAGACGGCTTGTCTGCTCGCATCTAGAAAAAAAGTAATATCAGGGCGTCGGTTCTCGCCTAGTCAAGTGCCATATGGCGTCCGCCTCGGCGCCTAAGGCGTCCGCCTTTCGCGTTAGTCGTCGCAGGCGTCGCCATCCAGCCTTAGGCGGTCGCCATACGCCATGCGGCGGTCCCCTTCTTTTGCTTGCATGTGGTGGTCCCCTGCTTTATTTGTTTGCATATAAAACAGAGCATATAGCACATCACATGGGTACAACTGTTGCTTTGTCTACTTGCACTTTGATTTGTACTAGATCACATGGGTATAGTTGTAATTTGCTACTTTGTGTGGTATCCTATGCCTCTATAATAGCACTGCATATTTATGCCTATAATTGGCTATATTAAGGTTGGATTGACATTTGAATTTTTATTGGTATTATATATTAAATTGTTTATATGGCGTCGCCTAGGCGATCGCCATATTCTCCTAGGCGTCCGGAAGGGGGTCGCTCGCCTCGCCTCGCCTTACCGCCTTTAAAACATTGACAATAATGAACACCTCCAAATCTCAAAGCCCATCATCACTGCACAATTAAAGATCATCTCATTAATTTATAAGAATATAGAGAAAGAAAAGGGAAATATAGCACTTCAAGTGTTAGAATATAATTAGCTTTAGTATTGTTTTTATGTATTAAGTGTTGTAAGTATAAAACACGCTTTTATCATCTCTCTTCAATTAACACTTTTGTATCCAAAACCCTTGGTATAAATACCAAGTATCACTGTACAAACTTCACTTTTTCAGAGATTATCAATATACAAGTTTATTTTCCTTTCTCTCTCTCTCTAAGCGATTCATCTTCGCTCTTCATCTTCATATCAAATCTGGTGTACAGATTAATTTAACATGGTATCATTCGCCAAATTCATTGATCCTATTTGTTTTTCCGCTGCGATCGATTATTGATTTCATTATATCAATTTTTCCGTTTGATTTTTGTTTGTTTCTTCGCAATACGCGAACCCTAGATCTGTATTTTTCTCCTTCGATCTGCATACGATCGCCTCTGGTCTGTGTTAGATCCTTGAAGATTTGTACTCGATCTAGTTTTTTCACTGTTTTTCGGCTCGAAATCTTGTTCTTCTGATGGCAAACCCTAACCCTAATCCCACTGATGACCCGATGTCTCCGTACTATGTTCATGCAAGCGATAATCCGGGTGCTCTCATCGTCGCTGGGCTATTTACTGGTGAGAATTACGTATCCTGGTCTCGTGCAGTCTCTATGGCACTCAGTGTCAAAAACAAAATCGGATTCATCGATGGTACACTTTCTGCCCCTAATCCTACTCGTAATCCCTCTGAGTCTCTTGCCTGGGTTCGTGCAAATAATTTGGTGTTATCTTGGCTTTTGAATTTTGTCAATAAGGACATACGCCAATCTTTGTTGTTTTTCTCTGTTGCTCAAGAAGTTTGGGATGAACTT